TCAAGTCAAAACTACTCTACTGCCTGATGTCCGAAGCCTACTCACTCACTTGCAGATGGCTTTAGACTTATTTCCCGAGTCGGCCGAACCCAAGCCCAAGCTCAATGAAGCCTTAGACGTTGTTTCAAGGTTGAACACTGCCTTGAACACCCTCAGTATTTCCGTCTGTACCCTTTCTCCTACCATATATTCCCTTGGACGCAAGTCCAGTCGGATCGATCAAACTTATGGTGTCTTGAAGAGATTCAGATGCTACATCCTGGAGATGGATGTAAACGAGTTGATATCTCAAGATCTTCCAGAGCTTTTCCTTGAACTTTCTCAGTTTGTTTCTAGTGGGGAATATGCTCAAGGTGGTTCAGAATTCTCTGATGAGGAATATGCCTCGAAGCTTTTGAGCCGTCGTACCCAACTGTTCGCGACTATTGACAAGATCCAAAGCGCCATTGACACTTCCCTCCGACTCATGGACCGTTCCGACTTTGGCATCCTCCGACACATCTGGACTGAGTTTGACACTGAGCTTGGTGATTCTCTAGCCCAGATTGCCCAGAGAATCCACGAAGCTAAAGACCTCGAGGTCCCCCCCGCCGACCACCCTTTTAACCTCAGACCTCGCATCATCCACCTCTTAGAGCAAATCGTCCCCCTCGTCAAATTAGCTAGAGTCTTCTATCGAAAGATCGGCTCCGGACCCCCCTTCACATTTGGTGAAGATATGTGCTCAGCTGACCTCGAACTTATTCGACGTGGCTCAGGCATGATCAATAACAATCTCTCCCACATCGTGAACTATTTGTTGCGTACCTACCGCGCCCAAACAGTCGAGCGAGGTGGTAGACTCCCAATCTTCTCCAATGCAGTAAAGGAAGCTATGAAGGACACCTTAGATTTTATTGCCTCTCACATGGTTCCTTCTGATCCCGCTCGTACCGTTGATGATATCATGGAAGAATCGTTTGGCATTTTGAAATCCCAATTCAATCCCACCTACGAAAGATTCCTGGCTGCTGTTAACGAGTTTGAAAGCGTAAACCAAAGATTCATCAATGAGGCTGACGTCCTTGATCAACAATAGTCTTAGTCTTCCCGGCCCCTCATCTCAGCACCCCGTATTTTTTTTCTCCCAAATTCAAAACAAAAAAAGAAAAAAAGCCCCTCATCTTGTTCCTTGATCATCTTGTGTAATTCCCGTTTCATTATAAGCCTACATGTCTTCTTGTTGTGGTCTTATTTGATGGTCTGTTTGAAATTCAAGCGAGGCAATGCCCGTCAGTCTGACCCATCCTTCTTTAAATCCTTTGATGTGAGACTCAGAAAGCGACCTGTTTCGCTACATGCTTTCCATCGGCAGACACATGGCGCTTTTTTGTGCTTCCTACCTAGTGGCTCACACGTGCCGATCTATCTAAGTATACTGACCTGACTGACCTTCTTGCCAGCCGTGTCACTAACATTC